GGGGGGGGGGGGGGGGGGGGGGGGGGGGGGGGGGGGGGGGAGCTGCAGTATCATCTTCTCCCAATCATCTGTAGGTCTCCAGACGACTCATGGTCTGCATGTGCAAGTTGGGCTCAGAACCTGGCGGGAAGGTCATTCCTCTCCCGCCTTTTCAGGTTGTGACTATTAAAGTAATTCGGGGAGGGTGTCGCTGTAGCACAAGGCCAGCGCGTGTCTATGGTTCACACCACGGGGGTGTCCATCATGTACAGAAGAGCTTCATCACACCTTGTCCTCTCGTATAGTTGCAGGGACCCTCAGCAGCATCAGAATGCATAATCTGGCCAGATTAAGCCGTCTGCTGGGCCTCGAGCCCCTGCAACCTACTTCCTGTCGCGCAATCTGGAGTCTGCTTGCCGATGTAAACGGCGTTAACTGCAGATGGTGCGTGAACGTGATGCCAAAAGCAGCACGTCTGCATGAGCGTCTGGGAGCCGGAGCGCTTTGGAATGAGCGTCGAGGCTTTATTAGTCATCACAGGTTTGATCTGAGCTGGACTTTTGAGAAACCCGCCCCTGATTTAGTAGAGTGGCTCACTTGTATAAATGGCCGCCACATTCCTATACTGGATTTCCACCCCAAATATCATCTGGTCGGCCATATTGGCTCAAAGTATATTCAGGTATCAGTGGTTTGACTCTGCCTGGTGCTGCTTACTCATTTTCTCCTTGTTGATTCGTTTTAGCCAGTGAGGGAGGATAAACCATTAAGCAAAACGCGGTAATAAAGCGTTAAGCTACAGAGTGTGACGTGAAATCCCCCAGGCTAGAAGCTCCAGCGCCGGCTCGGAAAAGCGAGGGACCTCATGGGAATCTGATGTGTGGCTGTCCCCCAACGGGGGGTGGGGGTTGGACTCCCGATCAAAACAAACACACACCGCCATGGCTCGGTCCGGAGCATCCGCAAACCGGAGACCCGCGTGTGAAAGCCTGCCGTCAGCTGAGAAGCTAATCTGTGCACTTGATGCTGCTTTAACCTGTCTGAGCACATTACCTCAGCTTAAGGCAATAAGCTTGACACATCTAGTGCTGCATGTCGTTTTCTGGGTAACAGGTAAACATGGAGCATCACTCTGTAGTCCCCAGCTCTTTTTTATGTTGCCAGGACAGTGTGGTTGGTGGTTATACCAACAGCTATGTTGCCGTTTCAAAGCCTTAATTATTTCACTTTGCATTATGTTGTCCGTACTGGGGTCCCACCCAGAGCGCTCATCAGGTGCCCTATGCCTTTTGGGATCCGCCTCAGGTTCAGCTTAAGCTTCTCTTGGATAAGTGGCTGGAGGATGGATGGATGAAGGGATATTTGTTAGGGCTTTGCAAAATAATGACTTGTGTTACCTTCAGGCTGAATTGCCTAATAACAGAAATATCTCAATAAGCTGCGATGCCTGCACTTAGCTATGGGAAATGATAGATGTATTTATTGGAGGAAGCTTGTTTTTAATGTAAATTGTGCGGGACCTGAAGAAGTTTTTTGAAGAATGTGAACGACGTGCGTAATAGAGTTAATGAGCATAAGGCGGAATAAAATTCGAATCACGACCTGGTGGCATTAAAGACTAAGCTCATACCTCGCGAGAGTGTATTTAATTTCTCATGAACGTTACTGGATTAGATGAGAATGTATCGGGGGAATGAAAGGGTGATGCGTAACCACGGTTACAGTCGCAGAAGACTCCCCCTCCTGCGTGACAAAGTCGGGGCCGGGAGCTGAGGTGGCCTGGTGTTCCTGTCCTCATGTCACGCTGTCCCAGGACACCTTAACCCTACAAGGTGCTCCTGAATCCGGCGATTAGCTCTGTAGCTCAGCCCTTACATTTTTAATTGTGCTCCACCGTGGGTAGCGTGACACCCTTAAAGGGGGGGCAGGGAATCGGGGTCATGCATCTGACCCACTGCAGCCTTCCCTTGGGGGCACCCCCCCCCCCCCCCCCCCCACACACACACACACA